TTTTCTCATTGGTGGGTTTTGGAGCTAAGATTCCAATGGAAACACTTGGAGCCAGCATTCTAAATCTCACAGTACCTCCACTGCATGGAAAACACGCTGAATCTCACAGTGTCTCCATGGAAAACACGCCAAATCTCAGTGTCTCCATGGAAGACACACTAACAGGTCTACAGTCTCATTCTACTTTTAGCTTTTAGGTCACTTTCTAATTTTGCTCTGTTTTAAGTGCTGCTACAGGAACTGATCACATCTGTTATGCACATCTGTAATTTTACTCCCTAGAATAATATCTAAGAAGTTGTTGGGGCAGAGCTCATATACATTTGAAAATAATGTGGTAGATGTTGCCCAACTTCTCTTAAGAAATCAATTTACAGTTGCTAAAACTTATGCAAAGCCCTGAGTGTTATATTTCGTATATGTCCAAACATACCTGGACAGTTTAACGTTGCCCAAATCATTTGTCTGAAAAATTGAAATTTTTACAATAGAAGATTTTAACAGGCAATGACATCTATATTGTAGAGTATTCACAGCTATGTGGGAAGGAGCACAGACACAGACAAGGTACATTAAGAGCGTTGCAATCTATATAATAGGGAGAGGAAAAAATAAGAATGTTCACCAGCATGCTAATGGGATAAAATGGACACCCAGTGCAGCAACAGGATTTGGAGGATGAAAAGCACATCTAACATAGCACAGGGATTTGGGGACATCACAAAGAGCCTGAGCTGATTTTAGAAAATTGAGGTTCTCAAAATACATTTATTTGATTTCGTTTGTTTGTTTCTGGTATAATTTACATGAAGTTAGCTTTGCTGACATCAAAGCCACTGAGCTTCGACAAGTAATTGACTTCCAGAGCTGTCAAGATAGAGTGCCTCCATCACCCCTCCAGCTCTGCTTGCACCTTGGTGGTAAAATCCTAAAGCACTGCAGGGACCTGGCAACCTTGTTCTGCCTCCTTCCCACACAATTCTTCTTTCCTGGACCATCTGACTTCTTTCACTTAGCATGGTAGGTTGCAGTTCATCCACGTTGGTCATGCATCCCTTTGTGCTCTTGAGTGGCAGTCCACTGTGTAGATCACTGCAGCTTAACCAACAGCTGAATACTTATTTTTGTTGTTTCCATTTGAGGCTGATTAGAATAAAGCTGCTTAAAACATTCATGTATCCTTTTTCTTGCATTCATAAACAGGGGTAGCATAACTTGCTTATAAGGTATATCTGGTTTTAGCTTGACAAAGAATCACAGGATATTTCTATCAATGATATAAGAGAAATATCTGACTTGGTATACAATCTTACCATCACTTTACATTGCCAACATATTTTATTTTACCATTTTAATAGGTGTGCATTTGTTTCTTCTTATGATTTTATTTTGAGTTTTTCCATGACTTAGGATTTTGAATTTTTAAAATGTATTTGCTGTGAGTGCTTTTAGTTCTTTTAAGGATTACAACTCTGAATAAAAAAGAGAAAATATTTGATCGCATCAAAAAAAATTTCTCTTGTAGTTCATGGTTTATGATAACCAAATAATAGTTTCATGTCAAAGGTTAGACTAAATCTTCTGGAGCAGGGCTAATATATTTTTCATAGATTGCTGATAAGATTAAATGTAGTTCAATGTGACCTTTGAAGAGTTAAGAAAAAGGGATCCAAGAAGGCTTTATCAAGAACAATGAATGTGACATAAAAAAATAATTATGAAAACTGATTAAGGAAAAGAAGCAAAGATCCTTGGAAAAAATATTTCTACCCATTTATATATCACTGAACACAAGATGAGTAATTAGAACAATCAATTTGAATATTTAATGCAAACCTAAATCTTGACTCATCAGCGTTGTTATAGAGTGTGAAATATGTCGAAGTGTCATGGATGGTTAAATCTTATTTGCTAGAAATAATTTTGATAAATAAGGAGGCAGAATAGCACTGAAAGCTAAGAATATGTCCGTAAACATGAAAGTGGAAATATTTTAGAGGGCATTGGAATCAGGATGAACTATACAGAAAAGCGGAAAGGTGAGAGTGAGCACGTGACAGGGCGGGTTGCGTGATTCTGCCCCTTGCAACGTTATTGTTTAAATGAAGAACTGAAAAATAAGATCTTGGTCCTGAAATATAAGTAAGCAATATAAACATACATAAGAAGTGAACTGCACAAGCTACCATATTATTTAAAGATTAATTACACATTGAATTACATATGAGATAAATACAAGTAAGAATAAAGTAGAAGAGTATGATGTGCTCTTTTGTTCATGAACTTTCTGTTGAATAAGTTCTGATTAAACATTGAGAAGGTCCAGGTAGATGAAGTGTAAATTCAAATCAGTCCCTGTCTTCCTGTGGTTCACACACCCAGCAATCAGTCACAATAAGTGATGGCAAGTGCTAGTAAAAAGCTTTGTAATGTAAGGAGCTCTCTAATTGGTTCAAATTTAACATGAAAATGCACGAAAAGTAGCAGGATGAAGAGGAAGGTGTAACTAGGGCAGAGTTCAGAAGGCAAAGGCCAGGACAAACTGAGGTTTCTGAAATAGTCCATTACACTGAAAAATGAATTTGGGTCATGTTCAAAGTAGGAAATTAATACTGAGATTAGTCGTGCTACTTGCCCAAGACAACAGAATGTTGAGATAGTAGAACTGTCAGATTGTACTGATCTCTATCCAAGAAAGTTAATGAACTGCAGAGTTTAAGAGGTCTTTGAAACCCAAGGGTGGAAAACTTGCTTGAAATGATCTCTATGTCTCTAGAAAACGTGCCAATGACACCGCATCCTATTCAATGCAGTCTTTGAAACTGTGAGGGCATGAAGAAGTTGGAAAAGAATGTAGTCACCTATTCAGTTGTTCATGATTTTTTTTTATTTATCATTGAAAAGACGTCATACAGTATGTGAATTAACGGTGATACAGTGTTAAAGGAACAAACTGTAAGCCCTGACTTCACAAATGCTGGCATGAGCTGCTAGCCAAATAGGGTGAGCTCACACAAGAGGCATCAAGATGGTTTTATTGAAGTGTGGATTTTGTTGCTAATTAAGGAACAAATAGCTTACTGAGCACCTAACCATCTTGAAAGTACTATAGTTATAAAGTATTACTAAAGTAATCAAGTAGTAAAATAAATGAGTTAGAAGATGTGCAAAAGTAGATTTGTAACAAATCACAAGCAACTTCTACTGGCATACTGATATCAACCAAGCTTGCATGTTTGGAAGGCTCTGTATCTGACAATGAGTCATCTGCATGCATGTATGTGTGAATGCATGTGTCTATGCATTTTTATATATGTATTTGCATGTGTATATTTAGTGGTTGCATGCATAGATGAGTATTTATGTATATGTAATTTTGGGTGTGCTTGCATTCATTTGTGCATGTGTTTTGTGTGTGTGTGTTTTTACTGGCATATGTATATACACAAGTATATATGTATATGCATGTGTGTGTGTTTTATGTGCATCCATGTGTGCATGTATATATGTGCATGTATGTATGTTTATGTGTGAATCTAGATGAATCAGCATGCCATAGAGACACTTACACATCCATGTTTATTGTACTTATTTATAATAGTCAAGATACAGAATCAGCCTAGTTTCCTATTGATGGGTTAATGGGTAAATAAAATACACTATGGGCCAGAGATCAGTAGAGTACCTGTCACAAAAGTATGAGGACCTGAGTTCAGATACCCAGTGTCCATGTAAAAAGCCAAGGGAGGCATTGTGTGTCTGTAATCCCAGCTCTGGGGAGGCAGAAACAGGAGGATCCCTCCGACTCCCTGGCCAGCCAGTCTAAACAAATTGGGAGCTCCAGGATTAGGAAGAGACCCTGCCTAAAAAATAAGGTGGAAAGTGGTCAAAAAGACACCCAATATCAACTTCTTACCTCCACATGCATACACACTTTATCACACACCTACAGAAAGAGAGAGAGAGAGAGAGAGAGAGAGAGAGAGATTGTGTTTTATATATGGACAATGGAGGCTCATTCTATTATGAAGAATAATGAAAATATGTCACTTCAGAAAAATAAATGGAATTGGAGATAATTATGTTGAGTTAAATAAGTCAGAATCATAAACACATACATTTCCTTTCACATGTGGAATCTAGATTTATTTATATAAACATGAAAGAAGGTGGGAGGGGGACTATGTTTGGGAGGAAGGAGTCCAAAATTTAAATCATCAGCAAACATCCAATTTGCAGTGAGTGAGTTTTAAGTTTACATTACCTGCGCTAGGCGGTGCCACAGTGGTAAAGGTGGCAAGTAAGGGAAGATTCTTCCAGCATTTTCTCTGAATTTACATAATTTTGTATTATGTTTACAACATAATTATAACATGAAATGTTAAAGAAATTAAGTTACTCTGTGTAATGCACAAACTATAACATCCTCGACAGTAAACCAGGTGTGGTAGAGATCTAACACATTCTTTAGCTGCTATTATTTCTTTGTGGTAATTCACTGTAATGTATTCAACAAGCTGAATCCCTGATTATTAAGGTGTATTTAAATTTTTGAAACTAAACTTAAATTAAAAAGGAAATATTATAAAGAGCATCCATGAAGAATGTGCTTTGTGTATACGGACTAAGTTGTCCAATGTATGCACATTCTCCCAGGAGAAGTGCACAACTCCAAGTTGGGTCAGCAGACAAGACATTGAACCAAAGACAACTCACTGCGGATCTTTCAACTCTCTTGGTGTTACAGGAGATCACGACTTACTTTTACTAAGCAATAGTAAATTTAGCCTCAATAATATTTTTATGTCAACCAGCAACATTTTTAAAAGACAAAATATTCAGGCACAATTATCTGTTGATAAATGGACCTTATTCAGTGTTGAATAGAAATTAAGCAGTAGACCCATCAGTAGGTCAATTTGGCCTTACTCAACAGTATTGCAAAGGATGGCTTGAAATAAAACAGATTATCCTTTTTCACTATGATTACTTTTCAGCAGCACAAGAATATTCCGGCTGCAGCGGATTCCCATGCCAGAACGGGGGCACCTGCATCAGTGGGATGGACAGCTTCACCTGTGCTTGCAGGCACCCTTTCACAGGTGGCAACTGCACCGTGAAGGTTGTGGAAGAAAACGCTTTAGCCCCAGGTACATGCCTTGCCTTCTTGAGCCTCTTAGCACCATACACAAAAACACGCTATGAAAATATTTGTGAGGATGAATTCTTTTGGTTTCCCGAACATTGACTACCACGCCTGATTTACAGGTGTGTCCTTCTGCTGGATAAGTTTATGTCTTCCTGACCTTTTACACATTCTCTGTATTGGTATTCTAGAAGGAATTTATTGAAAATCTTAACACCCTTACTTTTTTAGTCTATTGAAAGAAAATTCAAGTGTATGTACGTGGCTGGTATAAACTATTTCTCATTCAACATTTTTTTAAAAGAAATATCCCTTTGATTCCTGCCAGATGAATCCTCTAAGTGAAGTTTTCATCCATTTTGGCAGCACATTTTCCGTAAAAGCCAAGCTAACAGAGCCATTTTGACAACAAGATCCATCTTCCTCAGCAGTTGTTTGCATAGTTGTTTTTGCTTTTCGTTACTGTGAGAACACAGGGCTGGTGAGAAGACTCAGTGGGTCAGGGAGCTGGTAGCAATGACACCGTATGATCCTCAGAGCCCCCAGCAGAAGATGAAAGCCAACTCCTGAAAGTTGTCCTCAGGCCTCCACACGCACACCTTGGCACACATGGGCCTACACTCATACACATTATACATATAGTAATAATGTTTTAAAATGTGGCACTCACTCCTGACACACAAGAAAACTTGTATAGCATTTAATACATATTATCTTTAGTGGCTGGAAAATAGTATTTCAAATCAAACTTTATTTGCTATGTGAAGAGTAAATTTTCAGTCTTTTTAAATTACACAGAAATTTGGCTTTGTGTGCTCCTCTCTCTGTGGTGAACATGGCTTCCTTTGGCTTCAGTCTTAGCCTCTAGAAACATTTGACAAGGTGCTGGAAAACTTGTCTCTCCATGCAGGAGACTTCAGTGCTGTGGGGCCGTTGAAGCATCTGGCATTCCACAGTGGTCATGGGGTGCTTTGAGTTCCTTTGTCTCCACAGAGTCCAAAGCACAGCCTTCAAATTATCCTCCGCATTTCTTTGAGGGAGGTGCCCCAGGTCTTATTCTAGCCTGATCTAAATGAAGAAACTGAGACTCCAAAAGACTGGGTGATTTGAGCAATACTGCCCAGAGAGGAGGCTGGCATCTAAGCCACTGTTCAATTTGATGGAGAACTTTCTTGCTTCTGCTAAGCCTTTGTGAAACTGAGATAAAATGAGAAATACATGAAGAAAAACAAGATAAAAGCATGGAAAATAGGGCTGGGTATGTTGGCACATGCCTTTAATCCCAGCACTCTGGAGGCAGAGACAGGCAGAGCTCTATGAGATGGAGCCCAGCCTGGTCTACATATCAATTTTCAGGCCAGCTGGGACAACAGGGAGACCCTGTCTCAAAAACAAAAAACAAAAAACAAAAAGAAACACCCAAAACCTGAAAAATAAAACTTGCCTTTTATTTTCCTTGTACAGATTTTTCCAAAGGATCTTACAGATACGCTCCGATGGTGGCGTTTTTCGTGTCTCATACATACGGAATGACTACACCTGGCCCTATCCTGTTTAATAATCTAGCTGTCAATTATGGGGCTTCGTATAACCCAAGCACCGGAAAGTTCAGAATTCCCTATCTTGGAGTGTATGTATTCAAATACACCATAGAGTCATTCAGTGCACACATCTCTGGGTTTCTAGTGGTTGATGGAATAGACAAGCTTACATTTGAGTCTGAAAATCTTAACAGCGAAATACACTGTGATAGAGTTTTGACTGGAGATGCCTTATTAGAATTAAATTATGGGCAGGAAGTGTGGCTGCGTCTTGTAAAAGGAACAATTCCAGCCAAAAATCCACCTGTGAGCACATTTAGTGGCTACTTGTTATATCGTACTTAAGTCAGACTGAAAGGCTACGGAGCTGCCCATCTTCTTATTTTTTCTTGCATGCACATCTGTTCTATTTTGATATTTCTACACTAAATGAGAAATATCTTCTCAAAGTCTGAATGTTTATTTCATAAAATGATTTAGATTGCCTGGATATGAAGGAGTTCTTTCTCGTAAGGACATTTCAAGACACAGAAAGCAAAATGCATATGTAAGCATAAGTGCTCTTCTGTCTTCGCTGTAAGCCATTTCATTGGAGAGTAAAATGTCAGTGACACGCTATTGCCAGACACAGGAGTCTTCCCAAGGAAACTTAAACTTTGTTATAATCTGTGCATTTAAACATATAAAAAGCATTTCCTAGGTAAACAAAGTTAAGTAATTCAGACAAAAATCCTCACACTTTTAAATCTTTATTTTTGCTTTACTATGTTGATCAGTTTTATCTACTAAAATTTTCATTTGTGCTCAAAATAAGAAAATTGAGATAGAAATATATACTCAAGTATACATTTCTTGAAATTAAAATATAGAGAAATAACTGCCACATATTTACACCTGTTGAAAAGGATATGTGTATTAATTATCCATGTCTATTTACATAACAATATAAATAAAAATATGAAACCTTTTGCTTTGTATCCTTTTATTGTAATGTTAAAGAGAAAATGAGTTTATTTATGTGAGTTCTTAATGTTGTTAATAAGAGAAATTTTAAATGTGTTCATGTTTTTGCATGCTTGCCACATTATTCATTGAGACAAGGTCTCTCCGTCAAACCCAGAGCTCCAGGATATGGTTAGCCAAGCTAGCCAGCCTTCTGTGGGGTTCCATCAGTACTTTTTGAGGCTGGATTTAAAAGCCAGCTGCCATGCCCCTTTGGGATTTATGTGAGTTCTATGAATCAGAACTCTAGCCCTCTCACCTGCCAAACAAATGCTTTAAGTAGTGAGCCATCTCCACTGCCTTTCACACCTTTTTGAGTTAGGGTCCAAGAAAGCTGACATGTTCCGCAATACAGATTGGTTAGCAACTGCATGGCAGAGGAGAGGAGGGCTTCTGTGTCTGAGAGAGAGAGAGAGAGAGAGAGAGAGAGAGAGAGAGAGAGAGAGAGAACATAAAGCCCAGAGCATCAGGGAAAGCATGCCCAGGCTTTGCCCAGTATTTAAAAAAGAAATAGAAGTGTCAGAGTTTGGGGTACAGGCAAAGGAGGTACAGTTCCTCGCTGTCGTTCTCAGCAGCCAGAGGAGCTCCCTAAGAGTTTTAGGGACCTTAATTCATGCCAAATCAGTATTTGAGGCTTCAATACTGAAAAAAATTTCAGGACTATAGCAGGCAGAGTTGGACATTTTATTAAAAATATGTTAATATAGGTGGAAGCATAAGAATTAGGAGAAAAAGAGGCACTCAGAAGAAAGTAAGGTGCACTCAGAGCAAAGGCCCCGGGCTTCTCCAAGATAAGCAGTGCCCATTGTTCTCACAATAATCACAGGTAAGATTTCATCCCTGGGTGGTTCTTACTTCTGGGTAACAGGCTGATCCTTACTGTCGATGCAAAAGCCTAACCCTCCCGTCAAAGGGGTAAGAGATAGTTTATTCTGAAGCCAAATATGAGTAACCATGGTCCAGGAACACAGATTCAGGTTACCCCAAATTCCATGTGGAGGCAGTTTCATGAAGTTTTTATAGTAAAAAAAACAAAGAAAAGTCATAAATAAGACATTTTTCAAATACGTTGGTGGATACATTCAGTAGGCAGGTCATAGCAAAGCAGGGGAATTCTGCTATAGGTCTCAAGTGCTATCTGATGACATTTTTAGTCTTTTGATTGGTGGGAATGAACTGTTTCTTTATTAAACCAATACATTCTATTAGTCACATGATGTTAATTCCGAAACAGAGGTGGACAAGGAGTGGCTATTTGGGAGTTAAAAGTAGTCAAAGATAATTGTAAATAGGCTCTGGATCAGCAGCATTCCAAACTCTCCACAGTCACTGATGTGTCAATGAGTTGGTCAGCCTTGCAAGGAAGTTCAGCTCAAGATGCAAGATTTTACTGGGAACTTTCCTTCACATTACAAAACTTTCTAAAAGTGGTACTTGCACATCACCCTGTTCCAAGAGGGTAAGGACTAGTCTGTATAATGCTATGAATTCTGGGGTACATGCTGTCCTTTGGCTGTCTTCCAAAGAATATTCATGTAGGATTCATTGACTCCATATAACACACACCTAAGGTGGGTGCCATTGTCAAAAACAACAATTAATTTTTAGAATATTTTTTGAATGATCTGTTCACATTTGACAAAGGATTTCTGAAGAATATATTCTTATGAGCAGTAATAAAAAGAGCAGTAAGCAAACTTTTGACACAGCCAACGCTTCCTATGAATTAATGTTTTGATGGCTACTATATCCCTATGAATTATGGATTAGCTTATCAAATACGTTTTATGTATTACTAGACTCTTTCTTCCCATGAGAAGCAAAGGTACACAGGGGCCAAGCAATTTTTTTCCAATATAGAAAATAATGAATACCTGGAAAAAAGTATAAACATGTTTTTTAATTTCAATAAGTACTATCTAGCTTCCCTTAAAAATATTTCTATCAATCTGTAGTCCATCGATGTAAAAATGCCCCACACATCATCATCAAAACCCACAAATTTAAAAATGTTTCCAATCTTTAAGACAAAATCATATATCAGAAACCTGAAAAAAATTTCAAATTTATCAAAAGTTGAAAGCATATGTTAACACAATCAATGTTCACAGAAGCTTTATTGATAGTTGCTCAAAGCTGAGAGTCACCCATGTGTGTAACAACAGAACAGTGGTAAAGTAAATTTCTATGTCTTCATACAACAGACAATACCCATGAATTGTCAACAAAAGGAACAGCTCTCACCTCAAAGGAATGAAAGAGATGGCTTATTCTGGAGTCATATATGAGTGACCATGGCCTAGGAACACAGATTTAAGTTTCCCCAAATACCATGTTAGAGTGAGGTAGCAACTTTATGAACCTTTTACGGTAACAGAACAAAGTCATAAATAAACATCTTTCAAGTACATTGCTGAGTATATCCAGGAGGTGGGTCATAGCAAAGTAGGTGGGGGGGGGAATTCTGCTACAGGCCTCAGATGTTATCTGATGCATTCTTAACCTTTTGATTGGTGAGAGCTCAGACTTTGTTAATACATTCCAAAATATTTTTATCTATTAGACACAGGATGTTAAATCAGAAACAGAGGTGGGCAAGGAGTGGCTAGTTAAGGCTAAAGAAGGTCTAACTGAAGATGGTTAGATGGTTCTGGATCTGACATTCCAAAGTCTCCACAGTCACTGAAGTGTTAATCAGTTGATCCGCCTTGCAGAAAGTTCAGTCCAAGATGCAGGATTTTTCTGGGAATTTTCCTTCATAAACTGAAAGGATGAAGCCATTACAACCCTGGTGAGTGTTCCAGTGATATAGGTGAAGACTTCAAACTACAGCTAACTCTGCAGTGAGTGCCATGCGTCAGGACCCCACATGAAGTTGCGGAGCCCCAGATTTACACAGGAGCAGATGGGGCCTACAGGGAGAATGTGGGTCAGGAGCTGAATACAGGAGGCTTCACTGGTAACATCTCCCTGATTTTATATAAATGAGTGGTTTTTAAGAGCATTCAAAAAGTTGATACTTTCTTCAGTCCCTGCATAAAAAGTTAAAATAGTCTTTACTTTGTCTCATCAAATACTCATCAATATTTTTCTTTCCAAATGCATTTTCAGAATGTTCTTTAGTGCTGTATATGTGCAGCTTTTCTTCTGAACTGGAATGCAAGGAAGGGGGCCACGCACAGCACTCACCACATTTGTGCCCAGTTTAGTTGTGGATTTTATAGTAAAATCATTGACACATAGCATTAACTGAGTTTTAGTATTTGGAATTTTAATGATTAATATCATTCATTATTTCTATATGTATTTGTAGAATATATGATTATTAAAAAAATTATTTATTATTTTTATTTTATGCATATGTGTGTATTACTTGCATGTAGGCAAGTGCACCCATGTTGTGCAAAGCCTGTGGAAGACAGCAGAGACTGTCGGATCCCAGGAACTGGAGTTACAGACAGCTGTTAGCTGCCATGTGGGTGCAGGGATTCGAACCTGGGTCTTCTGCATGAACAGTCAGTGTTTTTAACCATTGAGCCATGAATATATGATTAGATAGCAAACTGACCTCAATAGCCAATAGGTAATACAACAACCTTAATATGCTACAAACTTGCATGGATATATTTTTAAATTAACCAATATATTTTAAACTGATTTGACCATGGCCTTTCTAATTGCCATGGTCAAATTTATTCCTGTAATACAAAAACCCATTTCTGGAGTTTTCTTACATTCTGTTGTGGACATGGCTGCTTTCTTAGTACATTGTAGATTCCGTTGTAGAGAGCTGCCCCCTCATCAGGCCTTTTTGCCCAGCAAGCTCCAGAGAATTTCCAAGACCCTGGCCACTGATACCTCTCTTTCATCCATTCCTAATAAATAGCCACTTTACGGATATGATAAAATACATATAACATACCATCTAAAAACAAATATCCTGTATGTCAATACAAACATAGCCCCCTCGCAGAGTCAGGAAGACAGCCAACTTCTGGTAAGTTCCCTTAAGAAAGGAGATTTACCTTTCATAACATCCTTTTCTTTGTTCTGTGTCCTTGATCAAACTTACAGTCCAGGTGCTGAAGCTTCCTTT